AAAAAAAAAAAAAAAAAGCCACAAAAGCTCAAGATTTGGCTTTCCTCTCTATTTTTTTCATGCCCTCAGCCTAACCCCAAATACTTCAAAATAAATAACTAGTATCATTGTAAGGAAAGTTGTGAGGTAATTAGGTCTCTGGTCTCAATTTATATGCAGGACTGGAAAAACACCTTCCTCTTGACAAGATTAAAGCATCTGTGGGAACTATTCATGCTTGCAGACCACCTCTGGCTACTTTTTTCCTAGGCCATCGGAGGTATCTACAGAGATGATTATAGAGACTTCCTGGTCGATGGTGAGAGAAAAGCAGGTGCTTCCAGAAGGCAATGTCAGGTTGGGCTCTGTACTTGTCAGGGACACACAGGCTTGTCCCACCCAGGCCTGTGTCAGCTGGGCATGGGTCTGGGATTGCCCATGTTACCAGCTCCTACACCACAGCACCGGTGAGTCTCTCTTTCCCATGTACTGTGGGGTGGGATCCAGCACCGAAGCTGATTTCATGGGGCAGCTGGCTGAAGGTAACTGTGTGAGGGTTGTTCCTGCCCTGCAGCTCACACAACACCCCACTGCATCTGTCACCTGGTTTCAGCCTGTCCTGGGGACCTGAGCGTGCAAGAGAGGGCACAGAAGGGGGCCTCTGGAGGCAGGTTGGCACAAGAGTTTTGGTATTTGGAGTGAGAAGGGCAGGGATAATATAAAGACAAACTTCTTGAGGAATAATCTATAGCCCTGCATGGTACCTGGGGACTTGCATTATCTAACACTGCTCTGTCAGCTGATCTTACAGGAGATTTAGGACAAGCCCCTCCTCCTGCTGATGAGCTGTGTCAGAATTTGCCTGGTGATACAAGTGAATAAACATTACCTAAAGGGAGTCTGGCTAAGTCTGTGAACAAAAACTAGCTTCAGACAATAAAAGTGCATACAACCAAGCCTGCCTTTCAGGGAGGACAGGTAAAAGTGGTGAGATACAGCAAAAACATACCGAAAATGGCCTGTTTTCACACTTTTCTACATAACCATTCACTTTTGTTTTCTTTCAGAAACAACCTTCCCATCAATCCAACACTGAAGCAGTTAAGACAGGGGACCCAAAGCTACAGCTAACCCATATCTGCACAGCAGGTTAAGAACAAAAGATTTCATTAGAGTCTTGAAGTCTATAAGTCAAGCTGTGCTTAAGCTTGAAGATCAGCAGCCACAGTTCCACTTGATTACACTGGGAACTGAGATGATCTAGAACTTCTGAAAATCAAGTCCAGAGTCACTCAGAGTTGCCATCAGTGGCATAGACTCAAGGAAACTTTCTGATGGTTTCATTTTGTATTTGGAGCTTCACTGACCTGGAAAATAATACATGGGGCATATTCTCCATATTACTCAGGCAGGTTTCACATGATCATCTCCATTACCAAATACAACAGTCCCAGCTGCAGTCAGTGTATTCTTTTCCCCTAAATTTCTCTTCCAGAGCTATATTTCTCCAAAAATAGAAGACCTGAAACTTCACTTTTATGATCATAGAAGATTTTGTTCACACTATACTCTTTAACAGGTGCCTTCAGAGTCTAAGCCCATTTTAGGAACATGTCAGAGGAAAAGAGCTAAAATGAGTAGCCAAAGCTGTGGTCTGACCTTTAAATACATTTTTAAAGCTCTCAGAGCTCCACAGCCCCCAAGGAGGTTTTTTCTCACTGCCAAATGCAGAGTACATGCAGGTCAGTTTTGACCCCAGCTCCTCCAGAAAAGTTGCTAAGTCTACATGATAAAGCCAAGTACTATTTACACAGAAAGTTGGGGTAAACCTCTGCATGTCACCAAGCAGCTTTCCTGTACACTGAATGGAAATATTCAGGGTAAGCTTTTTTCTCTTGACTATGTTTCCTCCTACACCTTCATCCTCTGAAGCAGCTTCTGTAAGTAAGAAAGATACAAAGGTTCCTTGTCACAGTGTAAAAATACTAAAGCTCCACTGCCTTTTAATCTGCTCCTTTTGCTGGGAGTCCATCAGGTCTCCAGGATGAGGTGCTAGGAGACACTACCTCTATTACTGGGTTTGACATTTGGAGGTCTCAGCTGACTACAGTCATGGTTGGTGAGGGGAATATAGTTTACAAAGCTGCTGAGGAAAGGTGCTGCAAAAAGGCCATAGTAGATGAGGGTAACCAGTTGAGAACATGATTTAACTGAGAGGGCTTTCCTTCTGCCCAGGCCAGGAGCTGAAAGAGGCAACAGTAACCTCATATATTTGTTAGCAAGTCTTTGCCCTAGTGAGACTTCAGAAAAGCTGGTCAGAAAACATGGTAATGATTGATGACCAAATAATGTTGTTTATTTAATAAAAAGAACATATTCTGCAAAAAGAAAATGTTTTAAAAGAGCAAGTGTTTCCTGAGGCTGTTCATTTATCACATTGGAATTCTAGAAAGCCACAAAAAAGGGTTGGAGAGGTCCACATGATGTCCACATGTGATCTGTGTCATTCCTGAAAGGCGTTTAGCCAACCTGTTCATAGTCATTTCTCAAGCTGGAAAATTCAGTTTGAGCTTAGGAGAAAGATATCTTTAAAAGTGAAGAAGAAAGTGCAGCAACAAAGGCTGAGGAGGTATGGAATTGCCCTCGCTGGTGATTTTTAAATCACTAGATATAAACCACGTTTCTCATGGCTACATGGATGCCTGTTGTGGAGACACTGCTTGGGATAATTGGGCAAAGAGTGTCTTGATGTAAGAAGATTGAATTTTTTTGTTCAGATATGATTGATTTAAAGGCTGTAGGTCCTTTTTTAGGTTACTCACCTTGTTGTTAAGGTTGAGTTCTCCAGTCACTTCAGTGCAAATTAACTTTCGTTGTAGTCTTAGGCTATTTTTTTTTGAGAGAGCATCTCTGCAGACCTCCAGGTCTTTGCTCCAAAGAAGCTGTAACATAAAGCTTTATGCAACAAACTGTACAAGCAGCAGTTTGCATAATACCTGTCCACTGTCATAGTACCTCATCACCCCCTGGTCACCCAGCTCAGGCCCCACTGTTATGATACGGTCTATAAAGTACATACATTTGTAGCAAGCAATGAATTTGGTCACTCAGTCAAAGGGCTTGTTTTTACAAGATGAGATGAGCTGTTTGAGATGAGATGTTTGAGATGAGCTCAAACAGTAAAACTTAGTAAAGTCAGTCCTCCTTACCACATGGACACTCCATCCTGGATGCAGCCATGGCTCTGTCATAAGACGCGAAATCTCAAAGCACCACGTACTGCTAGCAGCAGAGAAACACGACAACTGTCTGGGACTAGCCATCCCCTTCAGGTTAAATTAAATTTATGTTGGTTTAATTTAAGACAGTTGGGGACAGTTTTCAAAGCTAGAATAATAAAAGCCACTCCTAAAGTGAAATAATGGATGGCAATAATATTGACATGTGGCAATAATAATAGAGATGTACTGCCCACTAAAGGTTTTCTATTAATGAAATTGAACCAAAACAAGTTTCCATGTGGACTATAACCTAGAGACCAATGGCATCTTTAAGAAGAGGGATCACTGTCCTCAAACTCTGCTGCGACAGAGCAGGAATTCCATGACCCAAATGAGTTTTTTACTTTGTGCTTTAACACAAAGAAAGTTGAGGCAGGTTGAAAGACACAAAGCATATACTTTATTCATGTGTTTTGTAGCTGCTGGCATACATCAAGTTCAAGGTTAAAAGGAAAACTGTAGCCAACCAAGACGAGATGAAGTCGGGAGTCCTCAGGTGACCATCCTCTCCTGGGTGTCTGCTCCAGTGCAACAAGGGATAACAGTTGTACCAACAAGCACCCCTTAGTAAAATTACACCCTTCATTAAAGCCTGCTCAAATTGCCTTTCAGTGATCTTTGTCTGATGACAACACCGGCACTGACTGGATTATGCTTAATTAAGTACAAATGTTGCACGTTAATTGGCTGATAAGCCTTGTACTTGTCTGTAATTAGATATTGCTTATCCGATATTAAAATTGCTATTATTTACTCATTATAGGTAATATTTTTTCTAATATGCAGTCATTGGTATGAAGGCACCAAGTGGAGACTGTGTGGGAACTTCAGTGCAGACTATGAATTATATATAACTCAACAGCAATGCAATGAGATAGAGGAGAAGAGGACAAGAGGATGGCTGAGGTATAGGAAGCAAACCCTTTCCCAGGGAATACAACATAACAAATGCACCAGTGCAAGGCCATGAGGAAAAGAGTATTGAGAAACCAGGTGCAAGAGGCTGCCAGAGCAGCCCTGGAGTAATTTTAAGTGAAAGGCTACAAGCAAAAAAAGCCTCCTAAAAATTGGAAAACCTTTAGCAATAGGCCAGTACAAGTAGTTAAGCACTGTGCAATATTTGGATAACACGACCCACTCTAAGCCTCATAAAAAAGACATATAAATAGGCAATGGCGTTCTGAGTGTATCCTGCACTCTAGGTACACACATAGTTTTAAACTATCCCATGCATTTGGCACACAGCAATTGATGGGAAGGTCTGAGCTTTTATTTCCAAGATTCATTGTGCATACAATTTACTGTAGGCAGGGAAGATTAAAGAGTAAGGAATGGCTAAATCTAGAAAGAACAAAGTAGATCTAAAGAGCTGGATGTCAGTAATTGCATCAGGTGCAAAAATACAATTAGTGACATTATAATTACTGAAATTAAATATCAATTTATATGAGTATGCACTATAATACTTTTGACAGCCTCAAGTATTATGTGATAGCAAATAAAAGCAGAATAACAGCTCCTAATTTGTAAAGAAGTAGAATCATAGAATCATTAAAGCTCACTTAAAGAATTTTATTCCATAAGGTACAAGAACAAGAAAGGTTTTAGTGCAAAGAGGATAAGTGCTAATAAATGCCCAGTAAAACCATGCATGCATCTGCAGCTATTAAGACATACAACAGCTTTTCTAACATACAAACCTAGTACATGAAGTAACAAAACCTGCAGCAGCACCATGGAAAACTTTGGTCTGAAAGACAGAGTGGTAAGAAGACCATTCCCTTTGGGGTAGGATCCACCTTGTTTTAGATACTGCAGGCACATGAGTTGCATGCTAGTTGTATCTGTGGCTTCCTCTAGTCCACAGAGAGAAACAGGTACCACTGGGGACAATTCTTACCATATAGATATCCATTTAGCATGCCTGGTGGTATGATGAGTCCAGGTGATTTCTCTCCCTTACCAATTTTCACGAGAACTTATCATCTCCTGGAGAACATTTTCTCCAGCATGTTTCTCCAAGGTTGGCCCTTTAAGTGTATGAGAGCTCTGCAACCACAAGGCAGTTATTTTTTTCCCTTCAAAACAGCTTCACTTTCCTCTCCCATCTCTCCTTTTTCCTCCAAGTGTTTAGGTCCTTTTTGCTAGCAGGATGGCATTTTTTCCCCCCGTTGCTAGGTTGGTAGCCTAGTTTCCCAAGGAAAGGAAGCTTATGAGATCACACTGTCTTGTGCAAGTGCCAGTCGGTCCCTCCTAAATAATTTTTTGAGCTTGTGAGTTGAGTTTGATCAAACTTGACAGGGGATAGAAGTTTCAAAGGTTTAAACTGCCTACAAGTGCTGTGGAAGTAGGCAGACAGAGGAGAAAAAATGCTAGGAGTGCATTCACTGCAGAAACAAAACTGTATTATTAGACACCAGAGAGTCCACATCAGAGACAGTCATTACCACTGAACTCCACGGGAGATACAATTTCACAGATTCAGTAGCTCATAAGACGACTTGATTAATATGAGCATGAGCAAAATGTTCTTCTCCCCATCTTCTAGAGCGAAAGTCTTCCAGTTACAGAGCAGCAGGGGCAGAGCTCGGAAACGACAGGCCAGCAGAGTGAGTTTAGAGCTAATTGCTGCTCCTTCTCACACCAGTGCTCATGCGGAACTCTACTCAACTTCCCTGCGACTCCAGTGCCCCCATTTGCATGATCTAGTTCACATAAAGGATAAGATCAGGAACTTCAGAGCAGGGGTTAAAGTGAACGCAGCAAGTCCTAAATTGCCGTGAGCTGGAACAGCTCCACTGTGGTGGATGAGTCTGTGTTACAATGGGCCATCACTTCCAAGCGTAGCTCCGTGATAAAGCGTCCAGCTTGTTCTTCCTTGCATTTGTCTGTATTGCAGTTGCTAATGGCGATTCATTTAACACGAGCACGAGTTGGAACATAAACTAAAGACCAGCAAAAGCTGTGCCTGGTGCGTAGGCTGGCTCTCGCTTGTTCCTGCTGTGGCTTTTCCTAGAAGTCAACCACCTCAGGGTTGCCTGACTGGTGAGCCTGAACAAAATCCTTGCAGTTCCTTGTTAACACTTGCTAGGGAGAAAAACAAGCTATTCACACAGATGGGATTCAAAGAGAGACTGAAATCAGTCATCTGACAGAAAAAGACCAAAACAAACTAACCACGGTGGACATTAAAATGGAGACTGGGAGTTGTAGGGAGTTGTGCGACTTTGTGTGTTCAGTGAAATATTGATGTTTTCTTCTTCTCCTAAGCCTTCTAAGTATTGATGTGCCAGATATCTGATTTAGGTGGAGAGAGTGCAAATCACCAACACCTAAAGAAAAGAGAGGGAAGATAATTAAATGAACCTTTGATGCACAGCAAAACAAGGAGCTTGCAAGAAGTGAGAGACATGGCTGAAAATGGACTAGGATCTCTTCAAGAAGGGCAGGTATTGCAACTTGTCCTCAAAAGCTTAGCCAAGGGCGCAGCCTGAAATTCACAGCCAGAAATGCCTGCAAAGCAGCATCTGCATTAGGGTGGTATGCTACACCATCCTTTAAAATGAGGCTTCTTCAGAGGGAGATGTGAACCACAACTCTTGGGCACCCAGGGCTGAATGTTTTCTGTTACACAGCAGATCTATGAAACCACAGGGAAGCATCCTTTACCTATTATTTGTTGTTGTCACTTCAATTCAGGCATTTTTCTTCTGATGAAAGCTAAAAGATAAAATGATTGTTCTAATTAATAATGCCTACCTCCTCATGTAGCATTTTTCACCCATCAAATGTCTCAAAGTGCTACTCCCATTCAATAGACACTAGAAGTAAAGGTGAAAAAGATCAAATGAAATGTCTTGGCAACAGAATAAAGCCAAGTCTTGCATCACAGATCTAGTAAAAGGGACAAGGGCACCTATTAAGCCTCAATAAAAAACAAAGCTTAGGACAATTTTCTGACATATTGGGTCCTTCAATGAGGCGTTGCAAAACTAATGTGACCAATGTTCCATGCCAACGAAATATGTTCTGGATTTTTTATTTGACAACATAATTTAAGGATTTCTTAGAATATGGGAAACAAAATGAGGTAATGGCTTTACAGGAATTGTTCCTTTGCAAAAGGCAGCTTGTGCCAGGGGACTGGAAAACTGAAAGTGCCCCAAGGGAGCACAGGAATGGAAAAAACCTCCTACACTATCCAGTGAAAACACAATGCATTAAAAGAAGCATAAACACCAAACTGCCAATGTACTGTAAAACTTCTTGTACTTAAGATACTACTATTAGAAGTTCTGACAAAGAGAGATGCTATACTAGACACATGATTTGACTCTTGAAGAGGTGCATTTGGCAGAATTATACCATGTACCTAAAGGAAACTTACCGACAGTGCCTGCAGCAAAATAGATGGTTTAAGGTGGGATAACTCTGTTTAAAACAACTCCTATCAATATAAGTGGTTGCTTCTTTCTTATGCTTTCTTATTTTTTTTTTTCTAGTTTGGTTGACTGAGGTTTGGTTTTTTTGTTCCCTCCATCAATTTGAATATCCAGTAGTTTCCAAAGTGTTAAAAAAAATGGTGGTATTAAAGTGGTATTGAAGGACGCACTGCCCATCCACTCTTGAGGCTGCTTCACAGCAAAAAAGGTGCCCTGCAGATTTGATCTTCGATGCTTGAGAGATTTAGTAAGTTTTTGACAGTCCTTAATAAATTAATATCATAGCCAAGAAACCTGAAGGTGCAAAGCATGATGCACAGGCAAGCACTTTGTATTTTGGTAGCATGAACCTGGAGTTCATATTTGAATAACATTCCTGTTTCAGGTAAAACTGAGCATACAAAATCCTTACCTAGGCAGAATGCATATTGACTTCAGGCGATACTTTTTCCCAAAGAATGGCTGTGTAAAGGCCAGGACTAGTTGTTTGGCCCTGCAGTAATGTTGTTTTTCTAGCTGAAGAGACTTCCAGCGCCTGGGAACAAGGATTTATTGCTGCTGGTGAATATCAGCACTCAGATGATGGTCAGTCTCACCTTGACCTTCAGGAGGTTGTTTCAGTCTTTGTTTTATATCAGCTTTGGAGATAAGCAAACAAACAAAATAAAACAAACAATAAAGCCTAAAAAGCTAGGCCACAGGCCACAGGCTGGGTTTCTGGTAATTTAAAGCACTTAAACCTATTTTTTCAGTACCTCCTGAAAGGCAAAGCCTATGCTAGCACAATCTGCCCATCTGTTAGCAAACCCACAGTTCAGGAGTATGGGGCTTTGAGTGAAATCTTTTACACAGACCCACCATGGGAATCTGAGGGGAAAGGAACAACCAATAACTCACCAATAACAGTGCTGTTGTCACTCTCCCACATCACCTCCAGCTTTTCTTCGCACTGGTGGAACTGGGCAGCAGAAGATCCTTAGCCCAAAGTAAATGAATGCCCCTTGTGGTATCACGATTGCAATGAGCCTTGGATTGAAACTGTCCCTCAAGAAAGGCAGCAGCCAGCTGGAAGCACATTTGCCAACAGCACCATTGATCATCAGCTGCCTGTAGCCTAAAGGAACTCTTTCAGACAGCTAAAATCGTATCTGATTTTGTAACAGACTCCTCTGCAGTCCTTATCACTTCGCCTGCCCCCAACCCTGCCAAAAAGAAAACCTACAAAAAAACCCCAATAAACCAAAAAAAACCACCCAAACCCACTTGTGATGAAAAATGAAGTGGCTCAGAAAAATAACCTGATTTGCCACCTCCTCCTGCGAGTCCTGGTAGCCAACTCCTGCACTAGCCTCGCTCTGCAGCACCCTGTAGGCAAGATCTGCAGCTAAGGTGAAGGAGAGGGAAAAGTGGGAGGAGTGAGGGGGAAAGGCACAGAGGCTGCATACCTAGAAAGCCGGGTTTATTCTTGCTGCCCACCCTGGGTACACTACCTCTGCATCAGGCAGGAGTAACAGAGGGAGAATCTGGCTTTCTGGATTTAACAACCTCACTTTCCTTTAATTGGGGCCCTCAGGCACTGCTGTAGTACACCTAATGGCACTAATCATTAATGAATCAGCCTTGATGAATAGGAAGGCTGAACTGACCTCTTTCTCCTTAGGTTGTCAGCCCTTCACAGAATCTGCTGGGTTTCACTGGGCAGGACAGCAACGGCACATATTTAAAATGGGTCCTGAAGAGGAAGTGGGCTGGAAGAGTCACCAATCCACTCATCCCTAGACTGTGCAAATGAGCCAGGGACCAACAGTATCTGGCTGCTGCTTCTGAAACATAGACATAGCCACCAGAAAGTCCTGTGAAATGAGTACTGCAGCTTACTTTTATACCATACCTCCCCCTGCTCCCTCTGTAAGCACCAACCAGTCTGCCTTCACTACCATTCATATACAGGTTTTCCTCAGTTCTGTATATTTGTGCTCAAGCTTTTTCTCCCAGCACAGGCCTGCTCCATCTCCCTGTTACAGCCTTTGAACAGATGGGAAAGGACTTTTTCCCCCCCCCCCCTATAAAGCAAAAAGAATCGACCACCACCACCTCAGCCCAGTGCTGGCACGGTCTCGCCGTGGCAGAGGGCAGCCCAGGCAGGGGCGAGGCTCAGCCCTGCCTCCAGGGCTCAGCCAGGCTGCTAAAAGGGGGAGGCAGGAGGTGAGCAGCCGCCTGCCAAGCACGGGTGCATCCAGCGCTGCCGGGGAAGGAGCCAGCTCCCCGCGGCCCTCCGGGGACTGCGGGACTGCGGTTGCTCAGTCGGAGCTGGGGACAGGAATTAGGGCAGGCAGAGCCGCAATGGCTGCAAGGCTTCCCGATTATCCAGCCAGCTAGAAATGCACTGGCTTGTTTTTTTGTTCCGGCTATGGGTTTTCCCCCTGTTGATCTGCATTTATGCTTTTGTGTGTGTGCGTGTGCTTTTTTTTTTTTTTTAGTAGGCGATAATTTTACTGTGGTCTCTGTCAACATTTAAATGCTTTTCTGTTGCATTTTTTCCCCTCTCTAGTTCACCACCTCTCGTTTGCCCAGGAGTTAAGAAGGGATGTTCAGAAGTTTGAACCTCTTCCAGCTCTTGCTACAGCAGCTGCTGCCTGGGGCAGTGGGACCAGCCTGGCAAGCGACACCCCAGCCTTCCCCCGCAGCCCTTACAAACCCTACAGGTGCAAGGCGGCAGGAGGCAAATCCAGTACACTCAGTCCCTTTCTGGGACTTGGCGGACGGCTTATGTTTCCTTGGCCACACAACAAGGCAAGGCAGAGCAACCACCCCTGGGGGCAAAAAAAAAAAAAATAAAATCGACTATTGCTCGCAGGCTTCAGAAATAACCCCCGAAAGGGGCAGGAAAGGGAACAACCAATGCCTCGCGCATTGTGGGGCTCTTATAAAATGAACGGGGGAAGGTGAGGGGGAGTTTGTTGATTGCTAGTGTTCGGAGACAGCCTCGCTTGCCGGTTGCCCAGGAGGAGCTGAGCCGGCGGGACCGGGGCTTGGTACACTTCCTGCTGTCTGTGCGGGAAATCCCGGTGTGCTGCTAGGCTAGCCCGGGAGGCCCGGTGGCACCCGACAATTAGAGGCCCCAGACAGGAGAGTCCAGGGGAAGGCAGGAGGGGAGAGAAGGGGCCCGGGCAAGACCACAGGGCTCCTTCTCAACCCGCTGGGCTGTTTTTCCCCGGCTTGCCACCGTTTGTTATCCTCCTCGATGGAGGGCTAATTGGGGGATGTGCTAATTACGGAGAGATTATCCATTAGTAATTGAACCTCACGCGAAGATAACTCGAGTCCTCTAATGAGCTGGAAATCGCCCCCTTATTATGGCATTTCAGTTTTCTTCTGAGGGGTGAGAGGGAAAGCTGGGAGGCTCCCTTCCACCTTTCTCCGACGGACGGGCACCGTCCAGCAGCCGGGAAGGCGGAGGCGGTGTCGGGAATGCCGGCAGCGGGCGGGACCTGCGCCCGGGCACCCCGGGGCGGAGCGGGGTTGCCGCCGGCAAGGGTCCCCGGAGCCCGGCCGGCGTAGCCAACAGGCTGCGGAGCTCCCCGTACCCCAGCAAGGGCTCTCTCTTCCGTCTCTCCTCGGCATCTGTCATTTCGTGCTACAGGAAACCATAACAGCAGCGCCTGACCTCATGAATACAGAGATGTGCACAGAAAAATCAATTTAGGTCTATATCCTCTGTGGGGAAGGAAAATAACCCAAACCATTTAAACAAAGCTCTGCTCTCCAGGGTTTTCCTTTTTCTTTGGTGGTGGTGGGGACTGAGTCTAGCGGGAGGCCAAAAGAAAACGAAATTCCAGCAGACCTGTGTCTGACGAAGCGAGGCTGAGCTCTGCAAAGCCCCCCTAACACACGCATAATGTATTTTATCATTAAAAAATCAACATTGCTTCCAGTGGTAAAGGCGCCTGGCTCCAGTTCCTGAGCACATTCGTTGCTGGGATTCAATTCGTTTGGGAAATGCAGATTGGCTTGCGACCCACTGTTTGATTTATGAACTGTTACATTTGCTATTGCTTACACATTACATTGCGGACCTTGGGAAGGGAGGGGAGAGGGGGCGAAGGAGAGACCCTGCCACCCTACACATTGGTAAAGAGAGCTATTGCACAGGGATCGGCTCCCCACTGGAATAAATCACCTCGCACCAACTCGTGGCCCCTACCTCCCCATCACCCACTCGCCCACCCACCCACCCCCGGTCGCCAGCTGGGCTCTTGCTTTATAAGTAAAAAGGACGTGTTTACTCTTTGATGTGCATTTCTTTATAAAGGCATCGGGCGCCTATAAATAGCTGAGGTTAGAGCAGCTTCTGCTGCGAAATCAATACCCCGTCCCCCCCTTCCCCTTGCTTCTTCGGCTGAGCTGCCTTATTAATTATGAAAGAGCTCCTCTGCGCCCCGGCTCCGGCTCGGCAGCCTCCTCCTTAATGGTGGTTGCTGCCTTCCCTCCATCGGGGCTCCGCACGGTTCCGCGCCCGCGGGAGAGCCGCTCCGCCCGCCCCCTCCTCTGCGGGGGCTCCCTTCGCCAGTCCCGGGCGGCTGGGAAACGAGGGTGCTGCGGTTCGCGGCTTCGAGAGGAGGAGGAGGAGGAGGAGGGTGGGAGGGTGGGAGGATTTACAGCGTATTTTTAAGAGAGAAATGAAGGAGGGGAGAAAGAAAGAAAAGAAAAAAAAAAAAAAAAGAGGAAAGGCTCCGACTAAGCGACTCAGTCACCCTGTCCTTGTTTGAACTGAAATTGCCATGTTCGTCAAGGGATGAGTTCAGGATTTAGACTTCCTTGCCTTAAAAGCCCTGTCCTTTCCAAGATATTCTAGGCATATTTTATAAAAAGGACGACACCCTCATTTCAAACAATAATTTTTATTTTATACTTCTGTCTATACTTTGTAGCAAATCTTTTTTTGTTTGGTTTTTTTTTTGCTGAATTGACTTTATAATAAACTTTTGTTTAAATTACATATTTCATCTCTTTTAAAATCAAGACTCTTTTTTTTTCAAAATCATTTCACTGTTGTTGTTTTGTTGTTTTTTTTTTTTTTCCTTTAGGTTTACATTTAAGCCCCCTTTTTGTGATCTCTACGGTTGGATATTCAGGTATTTTACTGGTATGTGTAACATCTAAAACAAAGAGGAGGAAAAAATTAAAGGCAGTGAATTCGGAAAGATGCCTTCGAACAGCAAGTAAAGGTAAACTCTCAGAGATGTTAGCAGCATCCCTTCACTCCTCCGGCCATTTAGACACGTCTTTCTTTTGCTTGCTCCTTCCTTCCTTCCTTTCTTAACTGTTCGTTTCCCTCTCTTTCTCTCCCTCTCTCGCTCTTTTCCCCTTGAGGAAAAATGTTCTTTTTTATTTATTTTTTAATTTTTTTTGCAGTGGAATGACCAAAAAAAACAAGCGACTGTGGAGGAAAGATGAGAGATTGTGAATTATTCACCATATGCTTCACACGTGGACATCTACCTTGGATTTATCGCCAGTGCCTTTTTCTGTCTGCGGTTTTTGTTCTCGCCTCGCACACTGCCACATTTTTAGCGGAGCCCGTGGCTCGCCGGGAGGTACCCGGCCGGTTACAGCCTTAGCAGTAGGTGGCCCAGAGCCGTTCCTGAGATTGCTTTTGCGCAACGAGGGCTCGAGTTTGTTTCTTTATTTTTTGTTTCTATTTTTGATTCGAAGCGTTAGTAAAGCTGAGGTCCGATTTGGGCTGCCCGCCGCTGCCTGTTTGGTAACATTTGGCAAATAAAACACAAAAAAATAAAGGGAGAACGCTTCCACAGTCCTACATGGGTGTTTCACCATCATCAGCCACCACCACCACCATCATCATCATCATCAACCACAGAAAAGCACAACGTCCCCAAAGCAACGGATGGACACTTCCTCTGTAGATCCAGCACATGGAGAAGGTGTGGGTGTGAGTGTGCTCGCCCCCCTAGAAAGGCAGCCAGGTCACTAGGGCGGCCCACAGAGCCGCAAGGAGCAGGGGCAAGGCCGGCGGGAGGAGGGACGGTGCCGCGCCGCTGCCGCCTCCGCACAGTTCAAATAAGCTGCCTTGGAAATCGAGGTTTTTGGATTCCCGTCTCAGTTTCTCCCAGAGGTCTGTCGCTCCTTCCTGGCAGTCAGTGAGCGCTGTGAGGGTGCAGGCGTGGAAATCATCCCAGTACCTGCAGGAGGGGAGAGCAGCCGGCATCAGAACAGGCACGCGCCCACCTTCCCGGGGAGGGGGTCGCCCCCTCGGGCCGCCGCCCCCACCTCCCGACGGCTGAGCTGAGCGGGGCACGCCTTGAAGGGAGGCTGGCGCCCGGCGGGGAGGAGCCGCTGTCTGTGGTTCCGGGTGTCCCCCCCTCCCCAACCCCGCCTTCGGCACCAGCCCGAGCGGGGTGGTGCAAGAATTGCTTTGCTGGGTTCCTGGCGGAGGGGTCTTTGACTGAAGTGGGGAGAGGACGTGGACCCCTCGGCTGGCAGAAGCTAGCTTAGAAGCCCATCGGGCTCGTCTCGAGGGTTTTTCGTCACCGGTGGGAGCGGGCAGGCGGGGGTGGGAAAGGCACTGCTTTTTCCAGGCAGGAGGCGGTATCCTGGAGGGTCCCAGTGCGGCGTTAGAAACCCTCCGGAGGGATCCCCCGGGGCGGGAGCGAGCCCTTACTGCAGAGGCAGGAAGAGAGGAGGAGAATGAGAAGAAGAAGGAATAGGAGAAGGAGAAAAGGAGCATCTTCTCCTCTTGGTCCCTCCCGGGTGCCTCGCACCGACCCGCAGCAGGGCGGCGGGAGGGAGCCCTCATGCATGGCCAGGGCTTTATAGACAGAGAAGGGATTATCTTTCCTCAGGATATTTTCCAGCAATTCCCTCACGTTTTCCCTTTTCCTTTCAATTCCCTTCTTCACGGGAACTGGACCGGTTTTTGTCGCCAGGACAGGACCCGTCCCATGGCCCCACCTGAGGAGAGGGAGGGAGGACCTTTCCTCTCCACGTTTGTATTATCGAAAATCACCCCG